TTTAACATGGTTCCATGAATCACCTTTGAATAGAAGGACTGTGTCATCAGCATACGATATTAGAGTGCCATCTATATTGGAAGAGAGTAATGAATTGATGTAGGTTATAAAAAGCAATGGTCCAAGTACTGTGCCTTGTGGAACACCTATGAGAACATCTACTGGATCACTGATTTGGTTTCTAATTTTCACATGTTGAGATCTATTTGTCAGGTAACTTTTGAAAACATTTAACGCGACGCCCCTCACTCCGTAATGTTCAAGAACGTTCAGAAGATTTTCATGGGGCACCGTGTCAAAAGCTTTTGCAAGGTCTAGAAATACCCCAATACATTTTTGGTTAGATTCTAAATTATCTTTTATCTGATCTATCAAATCGAACATGGCATCACAATTGTATTTTCAACCCAATTGGGTAAATATGAGGAATCATTAAAAATTATTAGAGAACATGTTAGCCACCATGGAAGTTCTGTGCAAAAATCCCTGGATATGCCAAAAAAGTCTCTGAGGCAAGTTACTCATGAAACATCCCACACAGCACCAGACGTCTTGAAGACGTCCATTTTATGTCCATATGATGCCTGAACGTCCACAGGCATAAAACCGACGTTTTGAAGACTTTTTTTCAGGACGTCTTAGAGACGTCCAGAAAAAGATGTCTAATGAAAGTCTCACTGAAGTCAAAGTTTATTAAACAGTTGAATTCAGGTGTTTGCAAAATGAGATGAACAAAAATGTGGAGAACCTTCAATCTGTGATTGGCTATTTCCATAATTTATATCTCAAATGGGTTGGGGGAAGAAATTATTCACGAAAAGTTTCGCCATATCTACTAGTCGAATAGAGAAATAACTAAAACAATGAATTTCTCCTAGAGTGACTCATGATTAGTTTTCTGTTTCATTTAATCTATTAGAATAGGAAATTGACAAAAAAGTCAGTTCTCAACCAATTTTAAAAGAATCAGGCCACTTCCTTGATGAGCCTCTTTTCTTGTCCATAACGTGAGACTGAGTGAGTGAGTGAGACAGAGCTTCGACGGTTTCGCGATCCGCTCCGATTCCCGTGCCGTGTATGCGACGATTGCGACACAACGACATCGAACTTCGAGTAAAGAGCCATTGAATGCATTGAAAATTTTATATTTTATCTGTTGATTGTTTGAGTTTGAGTGCATCATCTAGTGAAAAAGCAGTGAAAACCAGTTGAGGTGAGTCAAATTTCGTAGGAAACGTGTTGATTCCATATAATGGCTCATCCTCAGAAATATTATATGCGTGCCAAAAGGCAAAAGTTGAACGATGAAAGTTCAACCTCCATCCTAATGGCGGCGGGAAGTACCGTCAAACAGGGCGAAACCGATCGGCAGGGGTGAAACCAAATATCACGTATATTTAGGCTTATGTTTTCAGTAGTGATAGTATACAGCACTCAGCGCGCGGCGAAAGCCGACAAGTTTCTACAGGAAATATCAGTCTTCACGACAGTACGCATGAAGGAGGTTCATTTTGTTGGTCAGTCTAGATACGTAGGTTATTTTAGAGGTTTCGAAAAAGGATTTTTTGGAAACTTGTGTAAACGATTGGTTGTGTAGTGTAACAGAAAAGAGCTGAGAGAACGTGGTAAGTAAATTTGATTTCAACTATTATCTGGCCTTAATAATGAAAAGATTTGAGTTTTTTATCAACATAATCACTTTTTTTATTTACATTTTTATAGAAAGTTGGGAAATGGTGGGGTGAAATCGATCAATAATTATTTGGTGTAAATTACACTCTCTTTTGATATTCAAGGATTTTGTGAAGTTGTTTTGTAGGAAATCGATGTACTTTCAGTAAGTCTTTCATACTAATCTAACCCAGTCCCTCTCAGTCTCACCCTTTGTGGTATAACCGAGGTTATAGCCAATATTTTATATATCTCACAAGGAAACAAGTGTACAAGCCAGTCTATTTGCAAAGGGCTGTCAATTCGGTCAAACGAGGGATGGCTATAAGAAGGGCAGCTGAAAATTTTGGAGTACCATATAGCACGGTGTACGATAATGTCCGTACACCTGCAGAAAGAAAAATTGGAGGCCAACCGGCTCTCTCTGCTGTTGAAGAACGGAAGCTAGCAGACGCTCTTCTCCTGTGTGCTGACTGGGGATTCCCATTCAAGAGCTATGATGTTAGGTACATGATACAACAATACTCAACTAAGGCTGGAAGAACCGAGAAACGCTTTGGGAACAATTTTCCAGGAGTCGACTGGTTCAAATCATTTATGGGCAGACACGAGGATTTGACCATAAAGTTAGCAGAAAACACAAAGAGGGTCAGAGCAGCGGTAACATATGAGGTAGTTCAAAAGTATTTTTCCGAATTGGCCACTACCATCGGTGGTGTTCCTCCCACTAATATTATAAACTATGACGAGACAAACTTTTCTGATGATCCAGGCCAAGCTTTGGTCGTTGTCAGAAAAGGCAAAAAACATGCCCACAGAGTTATTGATAGCTCTATGTCAAGCACGAGCGTAATCTTCGCGGTGGCAGGGGATGGAAAATTATTACCGCCCTATATTGTATACAAAGCCAAACACATGTATGAAGGCTGGACGGAGGGCGGCTTCCCAAAAGCCCGGAATAATAGAACCACAAGCGGCTGGTTTGATGCCGAAACATTTGAGGATTGGTTCATGTCCATTGCGCTTCCATATTTTAACTCACTAGAAGGAAATAAAGTTATGTTAGGTGATAATCTCTGCAGCCATTTAACAGTCAGCGTTGTAGAGGCCTGCGAAAATAATGACATTAAATTTGTTCTGCTTCCTCCCAATTCAACCGACTTACTACAGCCTCTTGATGTTGCCTACTTTCGCCCCCTCAAATATGCGTGGAAAAAAAACTTAGAAGAGTGGAAACTTAAAAATAGGGGAGTCCTGCCAAAAACCATTTTTCCCAGACTTTTAAACGCAACTATTGATAAAGTCGGTTTCAGAAGTGGGGAAAACACGAAAGCAGGCTTCAAGGCATGTGGGATAGTCCCCTTCAATCCAGACCAAACCCTGAAAAAAATAAGACATTTGAAAAATACAGAAAATGCTGAGAATGATAATGAGGTAGAGCAAACATGGAGTGACACAATTGTTTCTCACTTAAGAGAATTAAGAACAGGAGGAGAAAGCGCTCCAAAACGAGGAAAACGGGTAAGTGTGGAGGCTGAGAAAAGTGTTTCTGTTAGAGACTTAATAAATACTCTTGTTGAGACACAACTTCCAGAGCAGGAGGAAAGCATGGTTTAGGACCAATCCTCTGGAATGTCCCAAGATTCATCAGATCTGTCTGACGTAGAGGAGGACCAGAATAATGTCGATTTAAACAGGGAGGAAAATAATGAAAACCAAATTTTTGGCCTTGGAGACTTTGTAATAGTGAAGTTTGCCACCAATGAGCGAGACAGATTTTTCGTTGCTAAAATTGAGCAAATTAATGAGACGGGCCACTTTACTGTCAACTGTTTACGGAAAACAATCACAACTAAAGACACATATTTTATATATCCGAATGTGCAAGACAAATGTGACGTTAACCAGGACCAGATAATGAGGGCGATATATCTTCAAAAATCTCTTTGATTATAATGTTGATTAGAATAGTTATTGTTGTATATTTGTGCATTTGCTTTTTGATTGTAAGTCTGTTCATTTTCAAAATATTAGTAGAAACCATTCAAGAAATTGATTTAAGTAAATATGTATATTTCTGATAATAAATAGAGGTTTTTCAACTTTTTTTTCATTTCAAAATGGAAATGTTTTGAAGACGTCTTTGAGACGTCTACGTGCTGTGTGGGATGGGCAAATAGTGTGCGCCATACTGAACGAATAATTGATAGTTGGTTGTAGAGAGTGAAACCGGACGGCCGAGGGTCAGTCAAATTTTTATTTTCTTTTATTTCCATAACGTAACAGGTAGACTATCAAAAAGCTACGTCATTTTTTTTTCTAGTTCTCAAGACCAAACGTTAATATACAAATTACGAGTAGAAAATATAGAGCGACAGTCTGGCGCCGCATGGCAGGGATAACGTTACGTTGCTCCTCATTTGTATTTTGAGACTATTCGATTAGTTGATAATTAAATTTATATTAAGAAACTGTTAGAATTTCCAAGCCAGAAGTACCACGGTACGTTGTACAAAATCTTCACTTGTTAGCTTTTGATATTTCCTTTTTTTGTTAACTTTGCATTATTCAATTATTCACGAATCTTTCTAAATCTTTTCTTCTTGTTCTTTGAGTTATTAAATAAATGTTGCTTTCATTTGGCTTACAAATCGAAGGTCTATGATCGTAGTATTTTCCGTTTCATCATTCCGATAAACCTCGTTTGATCTTCATTTGGCTCTAGAGATGCGTCTATGAGAGTTTGAGTTAATAAATAAATAATGCTTTCATTTGGCTTACAACTCGAAGGTCTCTGATCGTAGTATTATCCGTTTTATCATTCCGATAAACCTCATATAATATTATTTTCATTTGGCTCTAGAGCTGCGTCTATGGGAGTTTGAGTTGATAAATAAATAATGTTTTCATTTGGCTTACAAATCGAAGGTCTATGATCGTAGTATTATCCGTTTCACCATTCCGATAAACCTCGTATAATATTATTTTCATTTGGCTCTAGAGCTGCGTCTATGAGAGTTCGAATTAATAAATAGATTTTGCTTTCATTTGGCTTAAAAATCGAAGGTCTATGATCGTAGTATTATCCGTTTTATCATTCCGATAAACCTCGTATAATATTATTTTCATTTGGCTCTAGAGCTGCGTCTATGAGAGTTTGAGTTAATAAATAGATTTTGCTTTCATTTGGCTCACAAATCGAAGGTCTATAATCGTAGTATTATCCGTTTTATCATTCCGATAAACCTCGTATACTATTATTTTCATTTGGCTCTAGAGCTGCGTCTATTGCGGCCCATACACAAGCTATTTTCCTGGCGTGTTGGCAGCTGGCGTTGCTGCAAGCGCCCAAAACGCGCAGAAATCGCAAGAAAAACGCCTGTGTGTTGGTATTTGCTGCCGCGCTGGCTACTCGATGGACGGCCGACGACGCTGGTCGCCGAGATCAGTCTTGTTTGATTTCGGCGACCGAGAAGACAACAAAAGGCCTTAAAAATGCCTGTGTGTGTGACGAAATGGCAGAAAGTCAGCGATTTGGACATTCAGAAAAATTTATTTCTGCTTTCATTGAAATATTCAAACAGCAAAAATGCTTATGGATGGTGAAAAGCAAGGAATACTCCAACAGGATCATGAAGAACCACGCCTACGAAGAGCTATTAAATTTATATGAAAATTATAATGACGAATGTGATATTGATTTTGTTAAAAGAAAAATTAAAAGTCTCCGGGATTCATTCCGCAAGGAATATAAAAAGGTTCGTGCTACAGAAAAATCAGGAGCAAGTACTGACGACATATATGTACCAAATCTGTGGTACTACAAATTACTTTCATTTCTAAAAGATCAAGAAGTTCCAAGAATGGGTCGAGACAGTGACACGCAAGTTGAGGTACGTACATACGTAATATTTTTATTCAATTCAAATTACACGAACAATAGCAGTTGAGAATTTCATATCATATCTTTTTGCCATGGCACTTTTCCTTTTGAAACAAAATATGTCTCGTATTTTCTTCTTGTCAGTTTGGCTAAATCAGAAGAATTTCTGGCCTGTGGAACTTGTAGGCTTTGCATAACGTTAGGATTTTTACGCCAGTCACCTACAATAATCTGTCTGCCTTCAACATCTTCTACATCTAAACTTCCTGTAGGTGTATAACGTGATCTGTTGGTTCTTCTTGAAAAGTTATGCAAAATACATGACGCCATTATTATGTAGTCAATCTTTTCAACGTTCATATTTATTTCTGTATGGAATATTCTGAATCTGGAAGCTAATATTCCGAAAGCATTCTCGACTACTCGTCTGGCACGAGAAAGCCTGTAATTGAAAATGTCTTCATCATGTGTTGAATTTCTATGTGAATATGGCTTCAAAAATGTTGGCAAGAGACTAAATGCATCATCTCCTAAGAACACGAATGGTAACCTTTCCTTCGTATGGTTCTGCGACGGTATATTCAATTGGTTGTCGAGCAACTTTTCGTAAAATTTCGTATGTTCTATAACTCCTCCATCAGATACTCTTCCATTAGTTCCCGAATGTACGTAAATGAATTCGTAATTAGCATCAACTACAGCCATAAGAACGATACTGGAGAATTGTTTGTAATTATAGTAATAAGACCCGCTATTCGCTGGCTTAGCTATTCTCACGTGTTTTCCATCAACTGCTCCTCCGCAATTTGGGAAATCCCACAAATTATCAAATGCAGACACATCTTGCCATTTTTCACTGGTGTTGGGTAGCTGGAAAATATGAAAAAAAATTGTTACGAGGGTAATTTACCTAGATTCAAAATTTCTATTATGTAGAGGTAGGATATCGATTAATAAGAATGTTATTGATTCGAGACTTTTCTGTCAGATTTTCAATGACGGAAGTATCGAGGCTACAGAAAATGAATCTCAGGCAGAAGCTGAAAGTATCCCATCCGAGGACAAAAGTGAAGACGAGTCAAACTCTAGACAACAAGAAACTTCAACTACTGACAAAGTACTACCAAGAAAGCATAAACTAAAAAATGGGCGAGCACCAATGCAAACAAGAAAAAGTCAGTTGAGAAAGCATATGAAATATTATCCAAACCAGATGACGAATATGATATAATAGGTCAATCCGTTGCCATAAAATTACGGAATATGAGTGACAGGCAAGCATTATATTGTGAAAAGGTGATCAACGAATCCTTGTACAAAGGAATGATGGAGCAACTGAACGAAGAATCACATGTTGCAAGTTCGACATCAAAGAACCAAAATGTTGGCTCATTTGGAATTACTAGTACGCATCATCATTCTTATCGACAGGATTATTATGATCCCCAGCAGAACAACAATAATTACACCAGGACTAATGCTTCCGATTCGCCAACATTTATTCGTCTGAAACCACCACAATTTGAGACTTCTTTTTTCAATATAAACTCAATGTTAGGGCAAAATAATTAGAATACGTCAAAGCATTATAATTAACACAATTGTTTAGTTCCTATGAATGGTGATACGTAAGAATTATGTTCCTTGTTCCGTTAACGTGAGAGTATTTTTCAGTTTATGTGTAAGAATTTAATTTTTGTTTTCAATAAATAAAAAATAAATATATGATTATATAATAGATAACTTACCTGCATGAATTCTTTCTTCAATGACTCAAATATTGCTTTGCAAGTTTCTGGGATGATGTGTCCAAGTGCCTGTGGTGAAATCATTGCAGAAAATTTGAGGTCCTCCAGAGATCGTCCAGTTGCTAAGTAACGTAGAGTAACAATGAGTTTCTCTTCTGCACTAATAGCTTTTCTCATGTGGGTATCCTTCTTTTTCAATAGTGGTGTGACTTTATCTAACAAGAATTCGAATGCATTCTCATCCATTCGCAGAAAATTTCTATAATCATCTGAATGTAGTTTTAGTTCATTCAAGACATTCATGTGTGATAATTGATCTTTCTTCAGTAACCACTCTTTCACCCATATACGTTGCTTTTTGGACTTTCTGGTTTCTTCATTAATAAGAATTATGGCACTTGCTAATCACTTCTGCTTGAGGGACATTTTTCATTTAAACGCCAATGAATCGCAAGCTATCTGAAACGTAAGTGTGTGGCGATATTGTATCAAGCGATTTGGACGCTGGCGTCAACGCCAGCTGCCGATACGCCAGAAAAGTAACTTGTGTATGGGGCGCATATGAGAGTTTGAAGTAGATAGGGCAAGAAGAATTCTGAAACACGGGTTCCAAAAATACTCACCAGAGTCGCTAGTGTCGCTGTGACTGCGCTCTGCAACTTGGCGGCGGCAAATTCAAATATTGGATGGGAGAATATAATAATAAAAAAAGTCGGGCTGTGCGGGCGAGGAATCGAACACCAGCCACCGGACTGCGAGTCCCAAACGCTACCATAGCGCAACACCACTAGACAAATTTGTGTACGAGTTTGGAGTTTGGTAAGCGGCGAGATGGCAGGCGATGCTGGAGAGAGCGCGGCGGCAGAACGCTAGCATGTCGACGTTGCTGGACGTTTGAAAAAATCGGATATTGTGCTCCGTAATCTGCATTTCGTCGTTTTGGCAATGGCGTATCGACATATGACGTACGACAGATGACGTTTGACAGATGACGTTTCGTCGATTTGATATTTGGAGTTCAAGGATAAAAAAACAAAAAACATGCCAATATAATTGGAATAATTTATATCTTATAATAATGCTTTTCTACAGAGATTGCATTTTTCTTGAGAAGGTGGTGCACTGTCATAGTGTGTCTGCTGATTGGAACGATTATGATGTACAAAGCATGGCCGCTTGATTTCAAGGTCAAAGTTGCGACAATATTCTCGAGGAAGTTTGTACCACACCTCTGATAGTCCACAAGGATCTGCAAATTCGATGAGAAATTCTACTGGAATGTACTGCAATTTCTGCTTGGTGAATTTTGTCAGAGTTTTGGTGGGATTTTTCAAAAAATAAAAGAGCACTGCTACTTCTGCTTTAATTTTTTTTTTTCGATTCGAGCAGATTTGCAGAAATTCAGATGCTTTTACTGTCACCTCAATTGGTGGAATGATGAAATGAAAAGCTCTTTGCTGAAAAATGACAAAAAAATACGGGGTAAGCAAATTGCTAGGAGAATCGGATTGGAATATAAAAATATCGCATGGTTTTTGAAAACGAGTGAATTGGTATAAATCTTCGAGCATGAGTAGTTGATGCGTTATTTCAACGAAACCTTCATCGATGATGGAGAGCTCGTTAGGAGAATGCAATTGTCCTAAAACATATTGCTGTAGAAGAAGGTGTTTTCCCATATCTGCTCGAAATAACGTGGTTGATGGAATAGCATGCAGAAAATGTGGGCATTACAGCTACTGCGCCTGCGCATGTACATCGAGACACAAAAATGGAATAGTTGAATGTTTTGTGACAGTTTTCAAATGTCTGCGACGGAGTTCAAACGTCAGTTGAAGGAATTCCAGAAGAAAATAAGTGAACTTGACGTAGCAATAAAACGTTTCGGAGATAAACAGCTGATGTTTCGAGATTTTTCGAGAATAACTCTGTTGGAAGACGTCATAAGAACCAGAAATATACCACTATCAACTACAGCAAAGAGAACATGGCTATTTTGAAAGCATCATTCGTATTGCTGTATTCAATGATAAGAGACATTTTGAACATGAATGTGCCGTAAAAAGTTGACGAAGCCGGAATTTGTTTCGATAATGAGTCATGCCAGTGGATTGCAATGCGGAAAGGATTCATGAATGACGGTCAAATGGAAGTTTTTTCAATGCGAGTACCTGAGAACGAGACGAAATATAAAATCAGATTGATTTTCGACGATAGGACCTTTGGCGACTTGAATCAATGGTAGTTTTTTGGATTCTCAGCACCAATACAAGCACAACCAGCGAGTCATAAAAAATTCTTTGCTATATTGAACATGTTCGTATATATAAATTTAGCATTTCTAGTTGTGATAATATTGATTAAAATTGTGCACTTTTTCTGTAGGAAATAAAAAAAAAAATTGAACATGCTCAATCTCGTCTGGTTTTGTCGATTCATGTGGGTATAATAAATGTGTTTATGCCTTGGGAATACATTATCAATTTGCATAATATATTCCAATTAAAAACGCTACGTGACCGCTTACTATCTATAGACGCGCTCTTCGAGAGTTGTTTACGCAACCAGTTCAGATGACCTTTCATGCACACGAGGATTTATTTTTATGATGATATCTCAAGATTTCCATTCGCTTCATATAATATGCGCATTGATATTCGAATCAACATTCCATGGCCGACGTTTTTTATTTTGTTTGACCATAAGCGATACGATATCTCGAGATTGCCAGACAGTTTACATATGCGCATAATAATTAACAGGACGCGACCGCATGTTCAATCTCTGCAATCCCAAGCTATCTGCTCCTATAAAACCGCGTTTCGCACTGCAGTAGCTATCAGTTCATCAGTGAAAGCAGCCAACTTACCACCGACCTACCTACCTACCAGCGTCAGAACCTAGTCTGTTGATTTGTCACCGGCCGTTATAATACCAATAATAGTAAGTACATCTATTTTATATCAAAGTGCTCATTTCTACCCTGAATCCTACGTATACTCTCGAGTTTGCATTCTTGATGTTCAGCGTATATAATTGACTTTTTTTCTATCCCATTCTTAGCATTTTTTCTTCTTCAAATAATATAGAACTTTTGAGATTCATTTAGAGTTTTGAAAATAATTCCACGATTCCGCGTAGATATATTCAATTTTTTTTCATTTCATATTGAGTTTTGCCAATATTATTGGTTTTTCATCATCTTGTGAACAATTTAATCTTTCTGCGAATAGTACAGACCTTAAGTCGTTCCAATTTGATTTTTTCAAACGCAAAAGATGCTTTTTTATCTTATTCTTCTCTCCAGATGGATATCAACTCATTGAACAAAGCGTCCCTCGTGGCCAAGAAGCAAATAAAGAAACTAACAGAGTTGCCCTTGGAACAAGCGCTCTCGATAGAGGGAGCAAGATTAACCAATACAAGATTCGGCAAGGCTGTTTTACTAGAATTGGAGGACTCGGTGGTGTTCTTACCGAACCGAGTGACAGCAGAGTACGAGCCTCACCTTGGAGAGTTCACCCCAAAGAAATATTCCCTCATCTATAGAGGGAAGATAGACGTGGAAAAGCAGCACGCAGCCACATCTTTCGAAATCACCGAGAATAAAATATAGTGAGTAACTTTTTTTTGGCTTTCTGAAAACGTATATTGGTATAACACAATCATGGAAAATTTCAAAAATACCCTTACCAAAATCGATGAGACACTTTAAGCGATTAAAACGAACAATTCCAAACGACAAGCCTCATTTGCTTTCAAGTCAATCAACTCTCATATCAGAAAATATATTTTGGACACAAAAAAATTGAACTTTTCAATTGGACTATCGCGAAAAATACAAACGGAAATTGGCGAGCTCAAACGAATGAGGTTTTTCATCGAAACGATGAATAAACATCGCCATGTTGGCTCAGGTTTTAGAAAACAGACAGTTAGATGGATAAACCTAAATTCTATATTTGAATCAAGAATTCAAACAGCACTTATTCTCAACTTGGGACATAAGGAAGTCATTGACTTTTTTATGGATTCATTCAAATTATTCGAGAAGGAAATTCAGAAAATTTTCGATAAGTTCCCTATGCTGAAAATCAATTTTTCATTTCGTGGTGATTTCGTGAAAACATCAAATAATGTTGAAATAAGTGATCGCAAATATTTCAATACTCCTAATGCTACTGTGGACGTTGGAACGGATTTGGAGGATTGGTTCAAAATAAATGGCATTGATATGATTTTGAATAAATTGAGTGAATTTGCTGAGAAAAACAGTGGGTGGGCTTTGAAGAAAATAATTTCGTTAGAAGTGGCTATCAATAAATTTGAAATGGGAAACGGCTCGTCCTTCATTGAATTACCTAGAGACATTTCAAAGAAGCATGCTTGTATCAATGTACAGAACCTTGATAAAGCATGCTTCTATTGGAGCGTAGTGAGCGCTTTATATCCAACAACACAAAATCCTGGAAGATTGTCAAAA